CGGCCCGCGGTATGATATGCATATGTATGTACTACATGATACGCTGGATACCAAAGCTGAGCTATTACGTTCAGTATACCGTACATATACAGACAACATGATGATCTTAACCATGAAGCGGGCCGGGGCCCGGCCCACGCCACTACCTAGAATCTGCCGCCATGTACCGTACCAACGCCGGTACGTTACGAACTGCACTAAGTTAAGTTAGGATTCGAATTGATTGACCTACAGGTACCATTGACCATGCTCGAGACTTGGAATCCATGCCCTTGAACAGTGCGGCGAATCGGACCGACCATGTTGATCAACATGGTCGGTCAAAAAAGATCACCGGATCGGATCAACATGATCCGGTGAAAAATTGTACGATCGATGGTACAATTTTTCACTTATCAACTAGGCTTGCTAGGGAGGCAAGCACGCTGCAGAAGTCCGCTGGCCGGTACGTTGCAGTCGCATGATGTCGGCCGATGCATAGAACTAGCATGCAGACCAAAATGACTCAAGACGTTTTAAGAATCTGATTGTGCTTACCGAACCGACCAGCTACGGTATGTCTTCCTGATACGGAACCTGCAAATCAAAAGCTGAAGACAAACGGGTTTCCGTACTGTTTGTGCATCAATCTCCGCTGCATCTAATGCAGATACTATGCTATTGATCGTTATGTAGCAGGAATATCAAAATCCAACCTGCAAGTCTATATTTAAGCCGTCTATATGTACTAGGACAAAATGGAAAACTTGAAGGCCGGCGTAGGGCACCATAGGCCGTCGGCTCCGCATTTGAACCAACTCCTGTGTAAAACCAGATGACTTTACTTCCTACATTACACCCCAATCGTACAAAACATTACATTATAGTTGCTCTAGACACACACATGTATGGTATCATACGAAGTCAGCCCATTGAGGGCGCATCTTCTGCCCAAAGGTGCCATCAGGAAGACATGGCACTAGCGCGTTTTGCTTCTCTGCTTGGCGGCCGCCAGTTCCTGCTCCAGCAGCTCCAAGCGGGCCTTGAGGAGTTGCCTCTCCTCGTGATCACTGCGTGCGCGCGCGAGCATGTGCTGCCACTGCTCCTCCTTGGCGGCCAGTGCGCTCTGCAACTCCGAGATGTGCTCCTTGGCTTCCCGCAACACTGCCACCACTGCAGCATCAGCGGGCGCCTGCAAGCAGAGAGCAGTAGCGAAGCAATCCGTGAATGCACTTTGAGGAGAATAACATGAACGCCAGGAGGACGCCACAAGGCACGGGGTCAGACTGATAGGAGAAGCCAGAACGAGCTGTTAATAGCATCCGCAAGTGAAGCAAACACTGACTATCTCGACAACTCAACACAGCTTTCATCACCTTCAAACATGCTCATATTGGCAAAGTGTTTTGAAGCTAACGGATTGTCCAGAACATTCAAAGGCCTGCAAAAGCCCTCTTCTCTGCAAGGCACGCACCTGACTGTTGTCCACATTCCTTCCTTCGTCCCTTGCTTCGAGGCCTGTTTCCTGTGGTTCTGCCCTCTCCTTCCGCCCCAGTTGATTCGCCAGGATGTAGGCCAGCGCACCTGCCGCCACAGCCAGGATGGTCCCCCAAGGCTGCTGCCCAGCGGATGTGGGCCGAGAAGGTCCAGGAATCTGAATCGAGTTGACAAAGCGTCCTGCACCAATGTCGCCCGAACTTGTTTTAAGTGGGGCAGATTGAATTTGTAACAGAAGCACCTCATCCTCTTGTATGGATATGCTGCCTTGGAGGACAGAGTCAAGGTCACCACCTTGTGCTCCTGATGCTCTGTATAGGGTCCTTGCTTTCAGTAGCTCTGCCTACACATGAACAACTCTCGAACTTTCTTTCAAGGAAACGCGGAAGGAGCTTCAAATGAAAGGGAGTAAAATATGTAAGTAGGCCATGAGATTCTGGGGTGATTGAAACGGATAGAGTTCTTGAATGCTTTGATTTTCTGCTCTCATCCTTGGGACTCAATTCGACATGATTGTGTTTCAATGAAGCCACCAGGGGCCGTGACAGAAAGCAATCATCAAACAAAGTCTGGGGGCTGGAGGTGATTTTTCGAGGCGGAAGGTAGGATGATTGAGAGCAGATTTGGATGGGACAGTAGATGAAGCGAGTCTATGTATAATCCAACAAAGACGCAGATTGACTCGTACCTGATTGTTGTAGATGGCACGTCCAAGTTATCTTAGGGCTGTTGAGTTTGACATTGATATCCGTGCTTCAGGACTTAGCTAATCTCCATCTGCTCAAAAGTGAGAGCATCCGCGCTTAAGGAACCACACCCCTCAAATATACTCTAAGAATGCTGTGACCTAAAGATGCATACGACAGCCCACCCCCCCATGCGTGCCCTCTACCTTACGTATCCCTCCGCCTGCCAGTTTGTTGCCTGTCCAGCACCGGACCTAGACGCGGGTGGGCCACCGCCACTGTGCCTACCCCCCCCTTCTCAATTCTTCCTTGGCTCACCTACGGCTGTGCGCACGCCTCCCTTGCTGGCAGCCGCTTTGACTTCCTCTTGCGAGAACCGGTAGTGCACGCCGTCGTCGATTACGAGCACCGTCCCCGGCCTGAGCTTAGCGGCGTCCACGTGCGGATTCTCTAGGAGCAACTCTTCCACCGTCACCCCGTGCGTGCTGGCAATGCGGTACAGCGACTCGCCCGGCTCCACGGTGTGCTGCACCACGCGCCCAGACGCTCCTGCTGCACAGCGCACACCGCGAGATGGGGAAAACACGCGGGTGCTGGAGGCAGACTTGACAGACACCCTGCTCCACAGCGATCGCGACCCTGCCACTAAAGACCAAGACGATGTGAGCGCCATGCTTCCTCGTTGAAAGGTGCTCCTGTCAAAATGCACCGAATCTTTCTTCATGGAAGGGCAGGCAGAGGTACAGGAACGCAGCGCTTGCTCAATTGCAGGCTGATGTTGCAGAGAGCTTCCCTTGCTCATGACGCCTGCAACGCCGCATTCTGTGGCGCAGCGTGCAGATGCCATAGATGCGGGGGATTGTTTGTTGGGCGAACCTTCTGACCATGCAAATGAAAACGCCTTTAGAATTCAATGCCACCTACAGATCTAGGTACAATTTAGACGGCGTGCTGGCAGCACTGTGGGTCTACGGCATTGCATGCCTTTGGCACATTGCAAGGATGGCAGGAGACGATTCGAATTCAAAATGAAATCAGTCTGCATGGAGGCAATATTGTGTACACCCTTACAAAGCGTAGTCCGTCCCTACTACCTATCTAACGTCATTGATGCTGGCCAATCGGACCGTGGAAAAAGACTGGCAGCTCGCACGCGCGCCATGCTGGAAAAAGGACGAATCAGATAATCCGCTACGCTTGATAGAATCTCGCTTAATCTCCGAGATTCAGACGTCCACACTGCAGTGTGCACAGTCCAGACTCCAGACCGCACGCGCAGTCCGACGGGCTAGCCTCTCCTGCCAGATATCCGCGAGCCGGCGGTACGCGTCGCGTCGTAGATGAAAAGAGACCATTGAAAACACAGGCTCGGCTTGAAGCAGTCTCAACGTTGTCATCTCATGCTACAATTAGCATGCTGCAAATTTTCTTTAGGGTATCCAAGAGAACTAGGGAACGTGAAAAAATCGTGAAACCTGGGTCATGCACCGGTCCGCCTGCAAGAATTCCGGTAGAGGTCGCATCGGTACCGCGGTTGGGCGTAGCCCGGTGCTGACCTCCAACCTGTCATGGTAGAGAATGGTGGCAACTTCTGCAATCTGCCTTAGCACCGGTGAAGCGAATCGGTGGATACCGAGTCGCAAAACCGGGCGCTGGCAGATTGTGAAGCTCGGATGTACCCAAACGTCCATAGTAGGTATGTACCGGTAAAACGCGGATCCCAGGTTACCTATTCCACCCCGGTACCAAGTACAGTTGGTACATCCCACGAATGTACATCACAAGCCAATCATTAGCTCCGGAAAAGACGGGTCATTTTCAATCGATGATTTGTCCTCGACCGGTGCAAAACTACCGCTGTATGCAGACCCTCTAATCAGGAAAATGTTGGGTACTTTTAAATACATCTTTATATTCACGCGCCGCGTTGCAGGACTTGCGGTTTGAGTTCTCCCCTTGTACACCCGTAAATTCATCTGGTGTATGTGTACCCAAACTTTCAATTGTAAATCACAGAGATAATTAGCAAGAACAAACGAATCAACGATCCCGAGTAGCTGAAGGCTTACGTCATTATGATCCGACGACCCCAATCCAAAACTGAGGATTAATCTCAGATTTTACAGCCCGATGGACGTCTCTGTATAATTTTTTCGAATTACAAATTGTCCCGAAAAGCATGCCATTGAATCAAGATGACATGTCTCTTCCCCGTCTCTTTGTGACGCCGTACTCTGTGCACTAAGCCGTAGGCTTTTTGCACAATCTGTGTGAGACTCTTGCGAAGTACTTTGATATCCTGCATCGATCTAGCTAACATCTTGATTGTGCCGCCTCACCAGCTATTCTCCATACACACACTGACCAAGAAGATGCAAAGCAAGGAATAGTCGTCAGCATATATGGTGCCAGATTTCCACCATTCAATTTTTGCTTCAAGTTGGCAGATCGTAGCTCGAGGTTTGGATATTGAAGATAAGGCGAAACTAAAATTCATGCTGGATAGCACTGACCACAATACCATGACTTTGAAACGAAAATAATCATGGCGACTGTCTTGAAAGTCTTGCATGATTGGCACTCTCCTCCCGGACATGTGAGTGTCAATAACTCATGCCATAATGCACAATCCTCGTAGTGCTTGCGAGACCTTCACATGCATTCAGACGCTTTCATAACCGTCATAAGTGGCAATCGCGCGGCCTTTGCAGTGACCTTTTTAGCGGCTCGTAGAGCGATCAGAGCGAAGTTCTGCCTCATACCGTGCGGCTAGAAGGACAAAACAGCCATTTTAAGAAGTCATATAACCGCAGAGGCTTCAACAAACGAACCCGTCAAAGGCAAAGACCCTGGAGCAGACTCGCTCTGCAACTAGCGTGGATCTGATGTCTTGGTTTGGTCAAAAGACCGAATTATCAAGCATGAGAAGGAAGAACCTAATTACTCAAGCTTTGTTTTCTTGCCTTTCGTTGGCAGGGTGGCCTGGAAACCTTCAAAATCATACTCGATGCCCTGCTCTCGCAGGCGTTTCCGCCTTGTCTCGTCGGCCTTGAGCAGCCGGGTAACCACCCTCTGCTGTTCCTCCGGCGTGCGCTCCTTGTTGTGCTGCTCCCGCGCTATGCGTTGCCAGGGCACCTGTACAAACCGAGGCATGAGATGAGAGACGCATACGACGACGAGTTACTGCATGCACGCCCAACGGGCGGGAGCAACAGAGCAGGTGTGACCAAGACAGATGTTGAGGGCCGGTTATGCAGTGGGTGACACGGTCCCGTGCTCGGGAGGCGTGCGAGTGCGCTGACCTTGACGAACTTCCTGTTCGCGTTTTTGAAGGTGTCGGGGTGCAGCTTGTCGGGGTCCATCACGCTGCACTGCAGCACTGAACCAAACAGCAGGTAGTTGTGCATGCACTCCGCCACGATGGCCGCAACCTGCACAAGGAACACATACAGCTCAACAGACGCCGCCGGAAAACATGCCACACACACACACAGGTGCCAACAAGCTTAAGCCGGGATAAGAAACGACGAGACTGATAATCAAAGCTTGTGAAAACCGAAAGTCCTGAGTAGAACCATAGACCATCTTGACCTCGCTCACACGCAAAGACAGATATAGCAACTTCTGATTGGAACGCTCCTAACTGGATTGGCAAACACCGGTTTCCCAAAATATTCCTGTGCTCTTGTCATACATATGATGACCGGTGCAAATCGACTCGTGTTTGCGAATAAAAGGGATTGTGCACCCAATTTGTCGCCAGACCAACAGGCCGGAGAAAACAGGGCGGAGAGAAGAACAAGGCTGAGAAGGGTGTATCAATCAGTTCTGAGGCCTTCATGAGACAACCCATTCCGAAAGCAATATTGTTAGTTTCTGCAAAGGAAGGAGGTGTCTGCTGCCCACTCATTACCCTTGCATAATTGCTATGCGCTTCCAAACACTAACAACAGTACAACATACAGCATATCCATCATCCAAAGGAATAAGTATGGAGCCTAGACATACAGCGCAGGGGCTCCTTTTTTCAAACTAGCTTGTCAAGTCGTCCTCGGCTCCGGAATAAGCTGTCATGGACACCCTGCTATTGAAATAGTCAGCTTAACAAAGAAGCGGATGCTTGTGCGTGGGCAAGAGATTGTCTGCATATAGACCGTTCACTGATCAGTCCCGCAACCGTACTCAGCCAAGCTGGCTCCATACCACAATCAGCTTCAACACGGAGACGAAACGATCCTGGGCGGGAACTTGTGCAGCTTTGGACGAGAAACTCACCTCTGACGATTCAAATTCGATGAAGGCATAGTGCTTGGATTTTCCTGTCTTCTTATTGCGCGAAACTTTGAGCCGCGAGATTGTGCCAAATTGCCCGAAGAATCCTGCGAAAGTACAACAAGCATGAGTGACAAGCGCAATCACCTTAAAATGGCGATAGATTGAAGCCCCCAAAAGCGCGCAACTGGCTTTGCCCATTCCTAATGGGCCTTCAGCACAAGAAACGTCGATGGGCGTAACAGTAAGCCTAATGCACAAGCCCCCCCATTGGACCTGCTAACAAAGTTGGACCGACGCTCTTGCTTGGACCGCTTGGACCCTTGTTTGAGGTATCACACACCAGGAGGAGCCCCTGACTAAATTGTGGAACCGAAGTAGGAAGGAAAAAACAAACAGAGAGAAGCATGCTACTTATGAGGCGGCTTGTAAGGCTGCGCAGTACAATCGTTTCTACAATGTGCATGTTCAAGCTCTTGAAGCTCCTAAAAGAGCTTGAAGCTGGATTTACTATCCTATGTTCCTCACGCATCTTCCCGGGATCAACCTCTCTGAGTCATTGTCCCCATATGCTTAATCTCAACACAAAATGAATCCCAAAACCAAAAGCCCAATTAGATTGAGTATCAAAACAGGCTTGACCCCCTTCTTGTGTAACCAGGAAATCTTAAAACTGGTCGCTGGATACAAACGTCCACCACATTATTGCTTAAGAACAAGTTCTACAATATGATTGCTCCCTAAAAGATTCAATATTCGCAGGAAAACTAAAGAACACGGGTATACCATCCTATTGCTTTCCCCCTCCCACTGTCACCGTTGGAAGGGATTCGAGAAGACGGCACCGTTTAAAGGGCACCCTGAAATGCGGAATGAGCACAGCCCAAGAACGTTGTGCAGATGGTTACTTCAGAACGGTTTGAAGCAGCCTGAAATCCATGAAATACCCCAACAGGAGAGCACCAGGCTCCGTTCCAAGCTACCACAATAGTATCAGAATCAAGGGTCTGAGGCCCCCACATTTGCCCAGCCCCACGTAAGGATGCAAAGCGACAGCCTGCTATATTGCACGATCAGCTCGCCCATATCTTGCGATGCTCAAAAGGGCACCGTGCAATTGCCAAGCGGTAAACCCGTTGCTGTATGCTTCCCTCGCCATCCACCACATATCTGAGAAAGTAATGCAGCCTGCTCATATCACACCGCTCCCCAGAATCCCCTGAGGACATTCCAGACTGGAAAAACGCACACCACAAGACAGGCTGCACAACCTTGTGCCCTTTCCAAACTTTTAAAAAGCAACATTGACTTCCATCTTCGCTGGACTGGTGGACTCTAGTTAGGCGCCATCAACAGGACCATTACCAGAGCACACCACCAGTGCATCGGGACCCACCACTCATTTGATCCTCGTAGAAGCCGTGCGGAATCCTGCCTATGTACACCACCCTCCCCTGCGCCCCTCCTCCTGCGCCTGCCAGCTGTGCCCCCACCCCCGGCCTGCCTGCTGCAGCAGCTGCCTTGCTGCCCTTCTTTCTCGCCCGCGCGGCTACTCGCGCCACCTCAATATCTGCCTCCACATCTAGCGGCATGAACGCCGCACCCGCTGTCTCCCTGCCGGACGTGCTTGGAGCCTCTGCTGCAGCTGGGCCAGCGGCAGGGCCCTCCGCCTGCGTGCCCCGTGGCTTGGCGGCTTTGGCCGGCTTTTTCTCTGGCGGAGGCTCCACCAGCACCGCCGGCGAGCGCTTCTTTGTGCTCTTCTTAGAAACCATGCTGAACTAGGCTAGCTATAACTGGTTCAGGGCGCCAAACCTCTTGAAGTTATGTGGAGGCGAGCTTTGAACTTGTAAGTCTTGTTTTTGAAGGTACTGCAGCCTGAAGCCTGCAGCCTCAGGAGCCGCTTCCGAGATTCTTGACGACGATTTGTCGGTACTGTACATAGCCCACAGCTGCCTTGTGGTGGAAACCGTGGTGTCAGAGGGCAAGCACTGCCAAGCAGCATTTTCTCTCAGTTCTCAATTTTGACACTGCTGAGTCTCTTGACACTGGAAGTGACACCGTCCTTGCCTGTTCGAAGCATTTCCCAAGCATGAATTCTCACAAAATGTCACTGACATCAGGACACATCAGGAAAAACGGTGGCCGGTCTCTAGTTGAAGGCGCTAGGTAGGCTGTAGCGGTGCTGAAAGGTCCCTTCACGCAGTCGACACCGCTGCCACCTCCGATCAGTGAGCAACGAGCTTCTTCTGCCCTGCTTCCACAACGCTGAGACGCGTGCCTTGCCTATGGGGGGCAGAGGGCGGCAGCGAGGGACTGCCACCAAGGGCCGCGACACAGCGGACCATCGTCGCAGCACCTGGGCCAAGAACAAGGAGAGAAGCACCTGGTGAGCGGGCACAAAAATTGAACAGTCTTGGGGGCGCACTTGTATGCGACCACTCTATGTTTCTTCCACAATGATTGTGGTGTGGTGTCCTTGATGGGGGTGGTGCGGTCACATTTATTGAGGAGTTGATCAATGCTGCCATGCATGTGGTGGCAGGAGAGCAGTCGACTCCTAGTGATGCTATGCGGGTGAGCTTGGAATTTCTGATTGGTCTGAGTACTGTATCCTGCCCACGCCAGCTAAGCTATGCTCTGGCCGCAGGTCAGCAGGTGATGCTGCCCCTTCAGAAGGGCGCCCCCCCGGCGAGGAGGAGGGCGGGGCGCAGCGCGAGTCCCTGGGTGTGCGGCTGGCCATGTGGGACTTTGGGCAGTGCGACGCGAAGCGGTGCACGGGCCGCAAGCTGGCGCGCATGGGCCTCGTCAAGGAGCTGCGCGTGCAGGCGCGCTTCGCGGGGGTCGCGCTTACGTGAGGGACGTGCAAACTTTGCAGCTCGTTGACTTTCTTCTCCGGCAGCTTGCCCCAAGCAGTTCCTGGATGAGCCCCGCTTGCTGTAGGGCTTCGCTGGGGTCCTACTTGCTCCCCAATGCGGTCACAGTGCTTATTTGTGTCCTCTGGCAGTCGTGATTGTCTGCTGGCTGGCCTCTGCTTCCCCTGACGGCCCCTCTCCCTTGCTGCGCAGCCCCGTGGGTGTGCGCTGTGTGTCTGCTGCGGATCGACCGCTGGTGCAGGCGCACGGGCTGGCGGTGGTGGACTGCTCGTGGGCGCGCCTCGACGATGTGCCCTTTGACAGGATCCGCTGCGCCGCACCCCGCCTGCGTGAGTTGCACGCCGCTGATGTGCAGCTTGCATGAAGAATCGAGGACTGTGGAGGAGAGAACGTGCTCTTGGAATTAGGGTGTATGCGTTTGATGAACAAGGGCTCCAGACTCTGGTATGGTCGAGGTTCTTTGTTGCCAGGTTTCGGATCTTGTCTGCTAAGGCGAAACACACGAGTATCTGTGGCCTCACAGCAAGTTTTGCATCACATATTGGATTTGACTGGTGGGGCCTGCGCCAACGGATGCAGCTTCGAGGCGTGCCGCTATTACAGAAACGAATGCTGAGAACGACTTGGCACGCAACCTGCTTCCTTGCCTCGCTGCCCCCTTGCCCACGCTGTGTGCTGCTGCGGTGTGCGCAGTGCCGTGGCTGGTGGCTGCCAACCCCGTCAACTACGGCCGCCCCGCCAAGCTGAGCTGCGTGGAGGCCCTTGCGGCAGCGCTGTACATCTGGTGAGCACGTCACCGTAGGATGCCGTGAGCCCCAAATGGCAGCGGTGTGAAACTTGTGGGCATGGGAAACCGAAATGCGTGCAAGTTCTAGTTGGCAGGCTCTTTCTCAAGTTACAGAGGAAAGGCGCATGGCTTGATGGTCGAGCAAACTTATCAAGTTTTGGTACTTGAAATCTGTGCTTTACTCTTGTAGCATCTCAGCGTTTTTGCCTGCACATCACGACCATGCTGTCAGTTGGCCCTGCGGATCACTGCTGCGGATCATTGTTGGCGCATAACAAAGGACTACTTCTACATTACTCAACCAGGATAACCCTCTTGGTGTTGCAACAAACTTCAAGCACAAGCTACCCCAAGAGCATCATTACTGATGCGAGTTTCCAGAGGTGCCGCTGGAGAGGATACGACGGGTTCTGAAGCGTCTTGTTTCCCCTTGCTGACACTTGCGCGATCTGAGAATGCAGTGGAGACAGAGGCAACGCGGAGGCAGTGCTGGCCAAGTTCACGTGGGGCCACGGTTTCATCTCGCTCAACAAGTGAGGCGAACGGACTTCCGCTTTTTTTTGGTTAGGTTCTTTGAGGTCTCTCCTTAAGAGTCAGCGAGGCATGCTTGCATCTGACGCCTTTCGAGACAAGAACAACACGCACGGTGGGTTCAACACGGTTTCTAAAGGAAAGCACCGGACTTCGAGACGAGTCGTGCAGCCAGGGCAGGTGCTGGGCACCGTTGGTAATACGTTCACTTCGTCTGTTCGAGGGTCGTGCGTTGCAGCATGCCTGTCTGTTTTCCGCTTCCTGTCTGTCCCCCTCTGAAGCTCTGTTGAATGCTTCGCCGCTCGTCTTACCCCGCTCGTTTTCCCGCGGCGTTACCCACACTCACTCTCTGATGCCGCGCAGGGAGCTGCTGGAGGCGTACGCCGGGTGCGCGGATGGTGCGGGTGTGATTGCGGTGCAGGAAGCCTGGCTCACGGCGGACCCCCGCCGCAGTGTGCCGGCCGGAGACGATAGCGAGGGGGAGGCCAGCGGGAGCGGGGACGAGGACGAGCTGCCGCGGCTGGAGCGGAATGCGAACCACCGGGGCTGGTCAGAGGACAGCGCGAGCGGGGACGACCAGGACGAGGACGAGGACGAAGGGACGGATGATGAGGTGGGGTCGGAGGAGAGAAGCGGGGCAGGCAGTGCGGAGGAAGATGGAGGCGACGAGGGTGGTGGGAGCGGGCGGGAAGAGGACGGGCCGGGTAGCAGTGAGGAGACGAGTAGGGGGCGCGGAAGTGGCCGGGGGGGACCGGGAGCAGGGCCCGTTAGCGGAACAAGCGAGTGCGCGGAGCTGGACGAGGGGACTGGAGCACGACTGCAGAAGGTACCCGGGGCCTGTGCAGCAGAGCAACCAAACCGAGGGGTGGAAGCGGACCGAGCTGACCTTCCAGGTGGTCCTCCTCTAGATAACAGGTTGGAGTCATTGTCCTTGACCTAGCAATGACATACCCGGATATTGACGGAACAGAAGTTTGCATGATTCGGGTTCGCGGTGTCGTCCGATCCAAAGTCAGCAAAACTTCGTGAAAATGTAACAGCAGTGTCATGAAGATGCGACCAAAGTGCAGCATTCAATGTGGAACGTGGCAAGTCCAATGTTAAACTTTCGTCGTCACCGTGCGTTGCACAGCCCAAATTGAAGACTCTTAACGTACTCATGGGTTCAAGATGGACTCGAGAAAGAAGTACATGGCCCGTCTTTATGCATGATCAAGCATGACATTCAAGGGCTGCTCTGCAGTTAGTAATGATCGCAAGTCAATCAATCCAGATTGGTCAAAAGCGCGTTAGAACCACATGAGCTACAAAAGGAGCCAATGGCAAAACTTGAGGTTCCGCGCGGTCGAGTAAAACAAATCTATAGAGCCGTCTGCCGATTGTAATAAATTGCAAATTTCCGAAGTTACGTGCATAAGCAAACGTGCATTCCGACTATAACTCCGCACTGAACGCCTGCCTGGCATGAACGGTGCCGCCCTAGCTACAACTTATGCCGCCAAGCTTAGTTTGGCCAGCTAGTGCTGCACGACTAGGTTAACAAGCCGTTGAATAATTTGAGTCAACTAGTCGTCGACACGTATAATTGAGCTGGGCCGCAGTTACCACTGCTAGTGGCCGCTGGCCGGCGGCCCTAGGCGCCGCCGCGTGGCTCCAATGCCTCATGCAATGCGCACAAGCTGGCAGATACGATTCTAGTATGGCGCCGGCCGTGGCAGCGGCGTTGCATAATTGCGTCATAAGCTGCGCACTGCGGCAATCACAGCCGCCTATATAACGAATTGCAAAATTATCTGTGCATGCACGTACATGTACGAACCACGTTGCATATGGCCATGCCATGACAGCAGCAACAATTGCGAACGGTGAGTAGTACTAAGCCACTCACCCAGGCACAGGGCGCGCATGGCACAATGATGCAGTACTATAGCTAGAGCGGCGTGCCACTGGGCGCCGGCGTGCTGCAGCCCAAGTTCAATCAACTACATGGCCGGGCGGCATGCCGAACTTCTTGACGGCGCGCTTCTAAGTAGTATAGATTGTTGGCAGCGTAAGAAAAATATCCGCTGGCGTTCATGCCGGCAGCCAGCATGAATGCGACATAAATATGTGCTGCAAGTGTGTACACATGCATGGATCCACAATGTGTCACGTCTTCGTCCTGTTCGAAAACAGTGGTTTTGATGCAGTCGATCCGATCAGAAAGCTTTTCATCTTAGAGTTGATACATACTACTCCACTCACCCAAGCCCCACGTGGGTTCCGACGGCTTGTGGCACAAGCTTCCAAGACCTAAACTTTGCAGACCCGAGGTCATCTCCGAATGTGGATTGAACGAAACTGCTCCAGGTTTATAAAGCATTTGCAGCTTGGTCCAATTCAATCCCTAAACGGTATTTTCGACAAGATGTGGCCACTTAGTTATATGTATGCCTTTTGAGCGCCGCGCTCGACCTGTCACCATATAGTACGTTCCCCTTGATGTCAACCAACACTCGAAGTTTGCTAGCTCCTCTTTGCAGCGGGGCGCGGCTCAAGTGACCAATTCAATACTTTCCTGGGTGTCTATTGATTCGGATGTTGTCTTCTATTATCTCGATCCGCGAGCAGCAAGCTATGGTTCACCAAAGGCAGATGCAGAAAGCAAGCAGCCAGAAGCGGTGATCAGGTAAATTCCTGGCATTTACGGCCACACTAGCTTCCTGTTTGTCTATGACCCCTATCATAAGCTGGGGAGATCAATCTCGAGACGTCACTTAGCGAGGCATGGCCGCAAGGCAGCTCCAAGCGGCCATCGCGTGCTCCCCTGTCTGGTCCCACTCTCCCTTGGAGGGGCAGTAAACGGGCGTCACATCGCATACCTAGACGAGCAGACCAGGAGAGGAAGGGGGATTCAAGCTGAGGTTTGCTCTCGAACCAAGACAAACTCTTGGAACGTATTACCAACAGGCATTCTGAGGAACAGAATGACTGGGGGGCGGATCGGCGCCAAGACGGGAGTCGGCTACATCATGATTAGGAAATCTCCTAAGTGTCACAAATCTCCTCCTAGAAAGGTATGCATCTAGATCGAAATTCACAGGAGCGTGCAATCCTTAAGGGGGCCACTCATATTACCAACCATTTATCGCACGTCTGAGTCCAGACGTGCGCCTAAGAGCTGTCTGAGTCCAGAGGGACCGTCAACTCGCATGCTTTGAGTAGGCGCAAGACTTACAATGGTAGCCCCAATCTTTGCTATTGAACGGTTTGGCATGGGTACAGGGTGCTTCTAGCAGCAATCGGGCTCGACCAGGCGGTGCGCCGCTTGTCTCACCTGTGGGCATCTCTCCTGCGGGTTCCACAGCGCATCCAGTTGTGGCGGCTGCGCTAGGGCCGCTTGCCAGCGCGCATCCACCTGCTTCCCAATGGGCCTGCGCACACAAACGAAGCGGTCAACAAGGCTTGATGGAGAGGAACAAAACCAGAACTGGACCTCGAGTGGTCGGCATCGATTACATATTTCAAAGAAAAAGAAGGGGAGAATACGCTGAACTCCGGACGAACAGTTCACTGGGTCAGGATCACAGAGGCTCCCATGCCTGTTGGGGAACGTTGAAGGTCATAGAATTCGCAAGGGCGATGATGATGCCTCTGCCAACTCATACTTCGCACAACCAACAACAAAAAATACTTGGTGACAAGGCCACCAGCTTTTGCACCATACCGCGTCTCCTCTTGTTGTTCACCCCTGTTCTTTGCCACTCTCTCACCTGGGCACTGCCTCCGGCGGCATCTCATCCTCCAGGGGGGTGAGCCCCGTATACTGTGGCTGGTCTCCCGTCCCTGCGCCCCCCAGCCTGGCAAAGTCCCCCAGGGACAGCCCCCCCGCCAGCCCCGCCAGGTCGGCCTTCACGCTGGCGGGCCTGCTGCCCATGGCCACCGATTGCAGCGCCGCGGCCGAGTCAAACTGCTGCGCCTGCAGCTGCTCCAGCTGGACCAGCAGGCGCGCAGTAGAATGCAGCGCTGGCGCACTTAGCTGGCACGTAATGGCACCGGCACTGCCCGGGCTGGCCCCCATCGCTACACGGCCTGTAACAGGGGGTCCGCCCTTCCTTTGGAGTGGAGCAACGCCCAAAGCTGGGGCCTTGGAGGTGGCTCTCAAAGCATTGTCGGCAAGCCGTGCAGGGAGGGGCGACGGAGTGGGCGCCCCATCTTGCTCCTCCTCCAAGTCCTCTCCAGCCAGCTGCACACCCAGCAGCTCCCGTTTACTGGATGGCCGGGGGCCCCCAACCCCTGACTCAAGGGCGATACTGCTCCCTTCCACCGTCCTCGTTGCTCGCAAGTCCCCAAGCCTCTCTTCCATCACTTCTTCCGATTCCACTTCAAGGGGGCCCCTTCTGTCACTACTCGACAGCCCCGGCCGTCCCGTTGTGACTGGCTCCATGTTCGGTTCCTTCCTTGACAAGGGACCCTGTTTTCCATGCGTGCGATCAGAATCAATACTGTTCACACCTTCCATTGCATCCCTCTTATCAGGAACTTGCGGGCCTGTGCCTTCTGACTTGACGGCTGCGACAGCCTTCTCCGGGTCCTGTACAACGCACGGCGGCCCGTGAGCAGCCAACACCAGCAGTGACTGGCTTGCATCTGGACTATTGCCACCTCCGCTGGGTGCCGTCGAGGCACCACCAGTGAGATCTCGTCTCTCAGCAAAGTGGAGCGTAACTGGGCCCTCCGCTACTCCGAAATGAGCCGCAAGGCACGCCCACCTAGATGTCTCATAAACCCGGATTGGGCAGCTCATCTCCTCTCCAATGCCCCCCAATTCCTCTTCTTCATTGGCCGAGGAACTATCGTACTCTGCTGGCCTTTGCCTGGACCTGCCCCCCGCAGCTGCGCTGGCCAGAAGGGTGCCCCCTGGAGAAAAGGCCAGGCTGGTTAAGCTGCCCTCTGCAGCGGCATGGTCCGCAACAAACACCAGCTGCCAACGGCCGCCAGACAGGGCCTTCCACACGTGTAGCATCCCATTGGCAGCGCCTGCAGCGATGACACCGCTGCTCAACCCCTCACCCTGGCTGGCGAAGGCCTGGCCCTCTTCCAGCCAGTGGACTGCCAAGCCCACCAGTGGGCTTCTCTCCAGTGTTGTCAGGGTGTCGACCAGTTGCAAGCTGGGGGGACAGTGGCAGGCCCAGATTCGAACAGCCCCGTCGCAGCATGCCGCGACAAGAAGTTGGCTATCAGCAAAAGCTAGAGAATGTATCAACGGCCGCCCTGCATTCTGCGGCGCCCAGTCTGCCCCTTCTGCGCCCAGCTTGACCTGCCCATCCACAAGCGACCACACACGGATGGCCCCCTCCTCATCTGCTGCGGCCACAGCCGTGCCATCTCCTGCCACAGAGAAGCAAGACAGGGCACTTGGACAACTGCCCAAGCAGCCCACCGGTGTGCAGCCAGTGACCTCAGCTTTGGCGCCGAGCCTGTCGCCTTCCTCATCTGTGCCTTGCCGAGTGCTTGCGAGGCTGCCCCCGCCGTCCTCGACTTGCCTGGGACTGGCCGCATCAGGTGGTGGTAGCTGTGCGCTGAGCAATCTCTTGCTACCCTGCTGGAACAGAATCAACTCACGGTTTCTGCCAGGTACAAAAGCTACCTGGCCGATGGTCCAGGACACTTCCTTTGATCCTACCCAGATCTCGCCTTCTCCTGGGGCTCCGAAAGCCGCCACGCTCAGAGAGTAGCGGACAAGCAGCCGGTAGACTGTGCGATCAAAAGCAGGCACCATAGGGGCACCCGCTGCTGTTTCCACATCTGATTCGCAGCTGACCTTGTAGATATGTAAGGTGCCGTTGCTGCTTGCACATGCGGCCAGCAGCCCCGCACCTGGCAGGAATGCAGTGGCAGGCGGATGGGGGCATCCTGTGTGGTCATAGAGTCTGTGCACATTGGCTGGGAGACGGGACAGCCATAAGCTGGGCTTTGGACGCGCTTCCTGCATCTTCATCATCTAGAAAGCAAGGCCATGGCTCTAGTGGAGCTGGTACTGCGTGGCACCATCATGCTTCACCACCAAACACGGCAGCTGTTTGTGAGCTGGATGAATTGGCATACCGGTACATATGTTGGACCACGGCGATCGAAGGGCTCGTGAAAGGCTAAAGCAGCTCTAGTGCCAGTGGTCAGGTGCCATCACTGATCAGTCGCCTTTTGTCCACCTTCAAGTTGCGCCTGGAGGTCCCATGGAATTCAAAATTTTGAAATACGAAAGCTCCGAGCATCGCTTCCCCGCCATTTCTTCCGAGTCGATGTCAATTGCATCGAAGATCGCAGTCGATGTCATGCTTGAAGATTTACCGGCAGATTGTGTTTGACTGGTTCGACACGGCGCACATGATTTCGCCACCAACGAAAAGACAGTCCCAGAACCGGTCGCTCAGAACTTATGTAGACGTGCATTCAAGCAGGCTGTGCACTACAGCACTGGGCCGGGGCAGGCTGCATTCAAGTTCAACTTCAAAGTTGCACAAACTTCAGCTGGCCCTCCCTTCTGCAGAGCTCGCCTCTTCACCTCTTTGACATTCAAAAACAGATTTCAATTAAAGCTCTGGCTTTCAGTTTCCCCAAAGCTCAATAGCTACGCTGTAAAGAACGGGTTGGTTTGCTGCCACCAGCGTGACAATACGGTAGTTTACGCTTTTCAGGCCATTTCGACATTGATGGCAGTCTTGAAATAGTTGCAGACGGTTTGTTTGTTGGAGTCGTGAAGTTCTTGGCGGCAGCTGGAACGCGAGATGGCTTCACACATTGGAAAGTGGATCTATCTCGATTGGACCAAGGAACTGAAGGCATGGTAGGTCCTCGGAAGCCTGTTGTGGCTTTTTATTTGGAAACACCAAGGGAATGCTGGCAGCCTTCCTTGTGCTTTTACCACATTGTACATGAAAACATTGCCAGCGATTGGCAAGTTACCATGCACTGCTGATACTTGCTGCCAACGATGCCCCTGCCACAATTGAGGACTCTGACAGAAGGTAAATTGGCTCCAGTGGAAAGCTCAGCAATGAGACGCAATTGCTCCGTTTGAACACCTTCCCTGGGGTTGCACCAACAAGGAAAACACTTTGCTACTACTCTGCTTTCTGGCGTCACTGGTTAATACTATCCCCCTGCTAATGCTTCGCTCGTTTTTCTTGGACAGGTGTGCAGCCAAAGTCCTCTCTTTCAAACCTAGCACTCAAATGCACGAAGTGCAGTTCACGGATGGAGAAAGAGAATGGGCTGACCTTACTGGAGAAGGAAGAAGGTGGACTGAAGATGCGCCAAAGAAGTGAGACCATCAGCTGTTTCATTGCAACCGGCTGTCTCGCCACAAAGGAAAGAATGATTGTGATTTGGCAAGCAGGTATGCAAGAACAGCCGGCTGAGAGTCATTCTAGGTGCAGATAATGCTGCAGCTGTTCTCAAAAAAATCAGCCAATGTGCGGTGGTTGGAGTGTTGGCCTTGATGAAGTGAAGTACAGACAGAACATTTGGAGTGCTCCTTACAAGGTGCATGCAGACTAAGAAGACTACGGTTTTCAGTATGCAGTTTGTACTCCCATGCCCAAGTGGAGCCCTCACAAAAGGAGGTCAATCTAGCCAATGTTGCCAGCTCAAGCCCTTGTCTGTTAGAATGTAAAACGGGGCAGACGACTAACGGCAACTGTTTGAGTCCATTGTTTTGAAAAGATGGTAGTCAGCGATCGTTGGCACCCGTTACTCTCTATAAAATTACTCTCACAGGTTGTGACTCTCTTTTTGCACAATTATTCAGGACAATGATTTGTGTGGTAGGACTGTACCAGTAAGGAAGTTCTGACTTCTGGAGCCTCTGAGTGAAGAGGGGGACAGTTCAACGAAGCAGCAATCTGACAGGAGGGCTGTGGCCTGTTTTGATTGTGCAGGGTGTGGAAGAACCAGGAGAAGAGGGCACGCCGGATGGCCCGGGAGTACGGCATCAAGCTGGAGATGAGTGGGGCCCTGCTAGACGCGGCGGAGGAGCTGCTGGACATGGGTGAGCCAACTCAGTAGCGCTGGTAACACCATGCAGAGAACTTCCTCTTACTTGTTCATGTTTCTGACCACGATTCTATCGCTATTGGCTTGAAGTTGAGAGCTTCTGCAGCACAAGCCAATGATTGCCTTCGTCCAAGCTTAAAAGCGTTCCTTGCGAGGGACCCTGCTGAGGCCTTGCAGGGTGGTATCATGGAAAGTGTTGGATAAGACAGGATCAGTTCAGAAGGTGGTTAATGCAACCTAGTCCAGATGGTGCTCCAATCTCTCGTGCAGAGGACCGCTTACCCAACCAGGGGGTTAAGAGCCAGCTGCCAAAGTTCTGGGAGAACCTGAGGAAGCAGATCCTGCGGTGCAAGGTTCCAAAAGAGATGGCTGCGGCCGCCTTCAAGTTTGCGTCGCAGATCAAGGACACTGTGCTCATGGACGACTGGCAGAGCAAGGTAGGGCCACAACCGGAAGTTTCTTCTACTGCCTGTCAACTGCAAGACTGTGGCTGCGATCTCTGAAGCATAAGTCTTGCAGTTCCATGCACTCCTGTGGAGGCCGTTTCAAAGACCCGCAAGACCAGCACTCTGAAGGTTGAGCAAGAGTTTTATATTTGTGCAGGCTGCGCAGTGGAAGGGGTTGGCCAAGCAGGCTGTCACAGAGGAGGACGTTGCCGCGGCCGTGCACCAGATCAAGTACAAGGTGAGGACCACGGAGCGCTTCTTGAAACTTCGCCAAAGTCCTCCTGTTGGCACTGTGCAGTTCTGTTTTAATCAGAAGGTATATCACAGCGTGGGAAGATTGCTTACCTGGACATGAACATGAATCTGCTTTCTTGGCCGGAAAACGTACAAGTACTTATCAAGCTCTGAGGTGTATGAAAGTCTCACACTCCCTGACTTTTTTTAACCTGGTCTATTGCAGATGGTCAACTGGGCACAGTGTCGCGCCCTATTTCCAAGTGAGGCTTTCTTCTAGGGAATGATGATGGATCCTGAGCAGTTGCTTTCCTATTCCTGGCGTGGAATGAAACACCCTCGACAGTACTGTGGAGCAGCATCTTCACAATGCACCACAGGACACGGTATTGGGTTGAAAGATCGCAAGGTTATGCGGGATTCCCACAAATTAGGCTTGCTTGTCAACAGCTTCATTTGTTGCTGATGAGATCTTTGGTTGTTCCCTGATGGCCCCCTTGCTCTTGCAGGCTTCAATGAATCCAAGCCGCAGGCCAAGAAGGCGGCAGCGACCCCAGCCAAGAAGGCGGAAGCAACCCCGGCCAAGAAGGCGGAGGCAACCCCAGTCAAAAAGCCGGGCAAGGGGCATGTCACTGTGGCTAGCAGCTCGGCATCGGGTGTTGCCGTGGAGTGCAACAAAAAGAAAGGGGAGTACCAGCCCCAGACCCACATGTGAGGAACATGGTTTTGTGTGAAACCTGCACTAGGGCTAGCTCTCAGAGCAGCGGATTCATTGTCGAAGTGTCGCTTTTGTTTCTAGGCGTGTCCCTCCAAGCACAGAACAGGCGTGAAGGTGACAGATCCTTCCATGCAGCCTCTGCTAACCTTTCGTTGTGGGACTTTTGAGAGTACTAACATGTGCATGGAAAACGGGTGCTTCTTAAGTCCTTGGAGTTCCTTGACCACAGCGAGTATCATCAGACCGTCTCATCAATTCTTCGCACCACTTCCGTTTGCTGAAGCCATCCAAAGATGCGCCTGGCGCATCCCCACGCTGCAATGCCTGACCCTCGCCCTGGGTATGCGTGCAGGATTCTGTGCCTGTGTGCCGACTGCGCAGGTGCCGAGGAGATGACCCCGCCTGCTTGGGAGCGCCATGTGGGTTGTCGCACGCACAATTGGACCAAGTCGATTAAGCTGTGCAACACCGTGGGGAGGCTCCACGGCTGGGTGAGCAATGCGCCGGCCCTTGCTGATGCCGTTCTACACACTAATCTCGTCTTACAATACACAAACGGATTGTTGAGATCCTCCATCAACCTTTGATTAATATCGGTCTCATTGCATTTGCATCATTCGGGATTTCCATTGAATACGTAAGAAGAGTCCGCCCTCGACTCCGCCTGCGAACATCATTTGTTTGCCCTATTCCTGTCTCATGAGGTGCTATGGAGATTCCTGGTCTTGCAAGTCATGCGTCTCCCAAAGCAAGGGTCCTTCGGTCGCTGGCCGTTCCTTTCTTCATCACTGTTCCTGGACTCTCGTGCAGATCCAGGCGCGGCGCCAGTCAGACCCCCCCCTCGCCTTCCATCAGATGTCGCCCGAGGAGAAGTCTCCGTCGGCGGGCGCCCCTGCGCCGCGCGTGCTGCCCCAGTCCAAGGTGTCCCAGCTGCCCCCGCAGTCCGCCGCTCGGTTGCGGCAGCAGTCGAGCCACCCCGATACGGGCCAGCTGTCGCCCAAGAGAAACACCAGGGGGAAGGCCAAAAGCGGGACGAGCGCCGGCAAACGGAAGTTGGAAAACGACGGGGCAGAGAGCAGCGACGGTGAGGGACATACCCCGATGCGTGGTCAAGTTTGTGGTCAAACCGTGAGGCCCTGCTTGCAGCAGATATCGCCCGGGCTAAAGCACCGAAGTTCCGCAAGATGGCGAGGATCTTGGAGTATTGCATGTCATTCGAACCGTCCAATGCACCAAAGAGGAACTGCCGTCTGATGTTCCTGCGAAGGGTCACACTTTCTGGTTTCGCGTGTCCTCTGGCTCAAACCATTTTTGGGCCGATTGACGAACCCCGTACGACAAACCCTCTTCTGCTGCATATTTGCGATTCGCGTATGTGTCTCGTCAGCCTCCCTTCGGGCTGACCATCTCTCCCTGCTCTTACAGCCGAGACCAGCTCTCCGGGGCGGCCCGCCAAGCGGACAGCACCGACGAGTCCTGCACACCAGGCAGGCGCGCGATTGTCATCGGAGCCCACCCGGGAAACGCCGCAGGCCAGGGAGGAGACGCCAGATGAGGAAGGGGAGGGCGAGGACGCGCAGCTGACATGTGTCGTCTGTGATGTAAGGCTCTCACGCAGTCAGGTTCGGTTGTGCGGAAACTGGTGGGATCAATTGGGGGCATGTACGGAAAGGGACATGGAAATCTGCACAAAGGTCCGTGGTAGCAAGGTGATGTGCTCCTTGAGGTATGTCGATCATAAGGGGACAGGGTTTTGTAATAAACACAAATCCTGCATCTTCTGCATTGGTCTGGAGTATGTGGTGAAGCTTGCTCGCCAGCAAGTGGATGGTTGGCCCGCCCCTGATCCATAGCCCCTAAAACCCGCAATTAGTGGAATCGATCAATCAGAAGGCTCGATCTCCAGTCTCGAGCGTCAGTACATTCACTCCTACGCAAGCAAACCTGTGCTTCAACCGACTTTCTGCTCGCTCGACCAACTCGAGCGGCTCTTTACCATATCGACAGGCACCGTACAAGAAGATTTGGTGGTAGTTGTGAAGCGAACGACTAGTATAACCAGCTAAGAAACGGCCTTGGAACTTTAAAGCCTCGATTTCCCTCGTATATTCTGCCCCCTGCACCAAAGGATACTCGTCCAACCTCCAGGAAGCTCGCAAGTGAGACCATTGCTTTTGATCTCTAGTGAAATATCGTCATGTCTCTGTCCTTACAAGCCCCTTCCTTTGCTGCAGATGTCGACGGACAGCCATGACATCCTGCAGTGCGACGGCGAGGACTGCGGCCGCGCATTTCACATAGTCTGCCTCACCCCGCAGCTCCTGCAAATCCCGGACTGCGACTGGTTCTGCCCCGCCTGCCTCCCGAAACAGCTCGCAAGCACAGCCCCCTGCAGTACGGCAGCTGGCCGGGCCATTGCTGGCAAAACCGCACGGGGGCTAGGCAGCCCCGCTGCTGCAAGCGAGGACCTCGAGAGCGGCCTCGGCTTCTTCCAGACGCTCTTCGACGAGGGGCCCGCCAACCACCCGCTTTTCGCTGATACGGAGCCCCAATGCAAAAGCCCAAAGGACCGACCAGAGAAGCTAGAGGAATTGCTGGCCCCGCAGCCGCCCACGTCGACGTTTGTGCTGCCGGACGACATGGATGACGACGATGCGCTGATGGCGTTTACGGTGCCCGGCAGTGCATATGCTGCGAAGCTAGGATATTAAGCCGTTGTTTAGGTTGGCGACAAGCCCTAATCTGGTGCGGAGAGGCTATCGCGTCATCGGCGAGGAGTCCCTACTCTATCCAGCTCGACCACGACCACGTTCGGGTATCAGTTCCGAGGTCATCACAGCAGTAACCCAGAGCGATTCAGACGGTTTCATTGCGAATTGAAACTTGCAGCTTCGAAGCTGCCACCAGCGCGGCTTGACGGCCCTCAGTGGAATTTTGTCGTTGATACAATATCTTGGACCGCGTGCGATTCAGTCCCGGACGTACTGGAACCGTCACTGTCCAAAGATATCATTGTATAAAGCAGCATGAGATTTAACGACTTTTTGCGCGAGGATTGCAAGATTCACACATTTAGAGCTCTATACATATCTCTATTCGAAAAACTGTTTTTCTTCGTGACATCCGAGTTGCGAGAGCTAGCACCTGTGCCACATGTTGGGGCTCTCGACTGCTAGCTCCTTGGCACGCTGTTGAGCCCGCTAGCTAGCTTTGAATTATTCGCTCTCATACTTTGCCACCGTAAGTTAATCATAAGTTAATGATCACTAGCTAGTAAGAATATGACAATAATGATACACAAAGCAATTTGCGTTGGCCAAGCCAACTCAACGTCACTGAGAAGTGAGTAAAAACAACACCTCAGCATCTCAGTAGCTCGAAGATCATTCAAGTGACACGACCGGAAGCCGCGGGCCTACAAGATCTGACAACGCCAATGCCCTTGGCACCTAAAGTGTAGTGCCCTGTACAGCTCGTGCGGCTCCTGATGGACTCATAATTAGCTCTGGCCCAGTGACTTCGCTGCCAGCAAGCTGATGGAGATGCGCTGCCTACAATATCGGTTGCAGCGGTCGTGACGCCTCATCTCCGATCTGGCTCTTCAAGTCGCACTGTGGGCACATACACCGCCGCTAGGGCCGCGGCTATCGAAGTGACCACCAAGGGAAACCAAAGGTTCCGATCGCTGCCGGAACATCATAGCGTTGTAGAAGAGGCTTGCAACCCCGCCCCTAACTCCGCCCGGTTGCTTGATGGAGAAGTGGTCGGGGCATTTTGGCAAGATTCGTTTGCAGGATAAGGTCCACTCAGAGACCGCCACCTGTCTGAGGTCGAAACTTTGGTGTTAGGGGCGGCTCGGCCCTCAACTATGTAGGCCGAGAGCTAATGTAGCTACCGGCTAGACCACCGGGCATTTTTGCGTGACTGTATGACAACTGATTTAAATGCCCGGTCCAAGGTGCACCGCGCTGTTTCGACCGGCCCGGCTGTGTTGCCCAAGTTCGGAACACTCGACTGGAGTAGGTGATACCTAGGTGACATCAACGCCGAGTTTGAAATGATGTATCCTCTTCAGGCAGGCGCGCCAATATTAGCCGAGTCGCGTGCAACCGAAACTGAATCGACAGTGACCGTAGAGGCCTGTACGCAAAATTCGGTCGACCGTACGAGCATGTGTGCTCTCTGTGTGTCCCCGCCCACTCAAAGGGCCCACCGACCAATACAGGTTTGCCACGTGGTGGCAGAAGACAAGTGCGCGACTCCGCGGTCGCGCGTCCGGGGCCCGGGCACCGGAGTTTAGATTAGAATCCGGGGTTTAGGGAGTAAGGCCACGGGGGTGAAACTCCCTGCGTGGATTGGCAGATAGCCGTAAGATTTGAAATAAACGGTCTTATGCGGGAAACCGAGACCGTAGGATCAGACCTTGTAGATTCTGTCTTTTGATTCAAATTAGTAATGAGAGGCGGAGATCAGCGGAGTTGAGTAACGTACCCAGTAGCAGAGTGACTAGACTCAGATATAGTATAAGGGAGTCAAGCCGGAGTGTTCTACACTGAGTGACTCAGTACGCAACCAGGAAGCTGCCCCCGGAATAGTGGCTGCTTCAGTCTGTGTGCAGATTTCGGGGTTTCTTGAAGCTCCCCTAGACTGGAACGCAACCATACCAGACTCCGTTATAGAGTAGTTACGTAACTTCTAAGACTCCGCCAGAACTCCAAGATTGAAAGACAAAGTGATAGAACTTGACGATTAAGACACTCATTCCATCTTCTCTCACTAGACAGCTTCCTTGTTAGGCGCCGTTCGTAGTGAGCAGGGAGGGTCGGCTGCCAGTGTTTCAGCACGGTACCGCAGCGTAACAGTGACAGCATCCTGTAAGCTACCAAACTCTTAAAAACACCGGCGGTAAAGTCGGAGGTATTGTTCGTCCGCCAGCCATTGTCCGACCGCAGCTTCTCCCAGTCATTCCGCGCTATTCAGCAGGTGGCATCCGCATGGCAGGTATGTGCACCCATGGGTACTGAGGGGGACCTCCCGAAATGGTGGCCTGATATGAGACGGGGCTTTATATGTTTGCATCATTGTGTATGAGATCATCGTGAAAACAACACATATTGACCCTGACTCCTTAAGCTGGAGCAGGACTCACGCGGTATGGGACGTTGTTGAGCATATGTGTATGTTACTGTTCTAGGCCAGCCTGGTCAAGGGCCCGCCACTACCGACTTCCGCTGCGTAGATGAGATAGCCCCCCGCGGTACCCCGGCAGACACCCCCGGTGCACTGTGCTGAGACCCCGGAGCTACTGCATCGCTACTCGACCTCGCTCTAGTTGCATCCCCGCGGTCAAGTGGGCTTGCTCCGGAGGTGGTCCTCTCTGGTATCAGAGGGAAACTTCGATTCTTCCAGGCCAAAAACATAGGTGTTACAAATCTCTGGTTGGCTGAGGAAAGGTTCTATTCTTCAAGGAACAAACATGAACCACAGGCAGACCCAGCCTCCAAGGGGAACAGGTGGATCCAGCCTTTAAGGGACAGATTACAGGTGCTTGATTCTCTTCTCAGAGAATTCAGGAGACTCCAGATCTGGATACTCAAAACTCAGTGAGTGCAATGGCTCAGCTCAATGGAGCCCCGGATGATGCTGATGAGATGAATCTGATTGGAATACGGACACGCTAGGGAACTCTGCTGCAGGGAGCTACAGAAACACCCGAACATGTTACCCACGATGGCGAAGCTGCAAATATTGAACAACAGGAAAGTCACTGGGATTCCCCCCATGCGAGGAACCCCCGCTGACAACATGAGCAGAGACAAGTGGCACGCCTCTGCTATGGACCCCCTTTCTGACCCCCACCAGGACCGGACTGCGGATGAAGTGCCAAGGGAGACTCCGCCCTTTAAGGAGACAGATAACAAGGAAAACCCGAACAGTGGAGCTTCAACCCCGGAGCTAGACGCGGAGGCAACCTCTTCTGCAGGGATGGTATTGCAGAACGGAGGACTCCCTCAGGCTACCCCCCCCCGGTGGGATGAGTTTCAATTATATTTGGCTTTCCTGAACATGACAAAAACGGAGACTCAAAACCCCGGAGGTCGATTGCCTGGTCCGAATCTGGTCTTTACAGCAGATGTCCATCAAAGAACAGTAAGGCAGACACAGACAGCCAGCCCACCACGAACATCCGAGGTACAGGCCCCGCCACCCCAGAGACATGTCGCCCCTGTCACGAAGACAGAGGAACTGGAACCCCGGATGCTGGACCTCGAGCAACCCTGGCAGAACGATCATCACGACCCAGACGACCATGAAAACACAGAGTTGCCCCCGCTTGGACCGCCGCAGACGGTAACGACGTACTCACCTCTGAGAAAATGCGGAGAAACCCCGGAAGATTTGCCTGAGCAAAAGCACGGAAAGACCCCGGATCTGACCCCGCACGCTCCCAAAATCAGCATCCCGCAGGACCCTGCGCCAACTCCCAGCGTCAAGTTTGAGTCGGAGTTCGAGGCCAAACCCCGGCTTTGGCGGGAGGATGAGTCCGCAAACCACAGACAGATCGAGCGAACACCGTCGAGAATCTTACAGCCCATCAAGGTGGCGACCTACAAGGGGACGAAGACAGAAGAAGGCTTCCAAGCTCAGCGCTTCATCAAGAAAATGGAGACCTACCTCCGCAACACTCCAGGTCTAACCAGCGGACAGATGGGACTGACGTTCTTCCACAACCTCGCCGACGGAGCTCAAGACTGGTTACAGTCCACGGACGACGCCCACATGCATCTCACCGAGGAATCCCTTCTGGAAAACTGGGAGGTCTTGAAGCAAAAGTTTCCGCACAGGTACGGTCCGACGGACCCCGCTGAGAGCGCGGTGAGACTTGGACAGGTGCAACAATCTGCGGACGAG